CATCCGTCTAATCCGACTCAGTTATGTTAGTTACGATTCCTTCCGTGATTACCGCCTAGATATTCGCTTCCACTGGGCTATATAAAGACCCTTCACGGTTGATGCCAATCGCAACACCCTTCATTTGTGAAAGCACGGCGCTATGAGTTACAGAGATGGTGATCGCCGCTGGTCCATTCGCAACCAAGAGCACGCTCGACTGGAAAAGCTGAAGCAAAAGAGGCTGGCTAATGGAGGACGTCTGGTGGACGACTCGGCTTCAGACCCCATTGTGGTGCCCCTAGACATGCTGGACCTGATGTGTAGGGAGCCTATCGATGTGGAGATGGAGCCGGTGGTGGAGGATCCAGAACCAGAGGTGGAAGAGAAGTGGGAGGCTCCTCCCCTTTTTGGTATCGCCATGTCGCCGAGTGCTCTGGAGAGGCCTCTGCAAATGATCGATGACGGGAAGCTAGCCGTGTATCTGGACGAGATGCCGGAAGGGGGCCAAGCCTTGATCCGCCTTTCCCTGTAATTTGCATCTGGCCGAGTTCTAGGCCTTGTACTTTTTCGTACTTATTTAAATAAACTGCGCGTTTTCTGGCTTGTCTTTTACTCTTATTTTCTATACTTTTTGGACCGACCTCCAGTCTATGTGGCCGATTCCTGGTCCTTTGACGGCGAGACTTTCTTGGCGTGGGAGTCGCCAAATCTGATTGCCGACCTCGTGACCGAAGTCTCTTTCGCGAACTTGACTTGTATCATCTAACGGGCCGGGTGCTACCGGGCCTTTCTAGAAGCTTCCAGTTCGTATCTGGTGGGCCCAGAGGCCGTGGCCTACGATGGGCTTCCAGCTTAGCAGGCCGGGTCACTGACGTTCGACCCTAGCCTAGGGCAGACGCGCCGTTTGCAGGCTAGCCCTAGGCCTGAACCGTCGCCCCGCCTTTTGAGGCATTAAATGCGGCGTCCCTTCACATCCTGTCACCTCCGCTTCTCCCGCTTTTAAATAGCCATCTTCTTCCTCTTCTCCTCACTTTCTCTCAATTCTTCGAACTCAACTCCAAGCACTGCCGTTTTTCTCTGCATTTTCCTCAGTCCGCGCCCAGGTTGGTAAATGTCTTCCTCTTCTCATTCTTCTTCTTCTCGTCATCGCTCGGTTGATAACCCGGCGGCGACCTCCCCATCTTCTTCTTCTCCTTCTTCGTCTTCTTCTTTTCCTCCCCGTCGCATGGAACTTCCGGCAGACGTTCCATCGACGTCTTCTCTTCCTCCGACCCCCTCTTCTTCGGGGGCGGTTACTCCGATGAGCCCCACTCCTCTAACGACGGTGGCAGCTCTGTCGGGCGGCGCCGGACGGCCGCGAGGCAAGTTCGATTCAATCGTCCGGCCTTCTGGGTCACCGTCCGTCGTTACTGCGACGGACCTGGAAATGACCCAATTTCTCCTTGGACCTTCGGCCGTGGTCCTTGCTCCAGAAGGCCGGCAAATTTATGACCCACCCGAGGGTTGCGTGGGCATTCATTTGCACTCGGTTGCCTTTGGCTTCCGAGTTTCTCCGTGTCCTTTCCTCTCCCTTTTTTATCGTCATTACAACGTAGTTCCGGGCCAACTGGTGCCCAATTCTCACCGACTTCTCACCTGCTTCATAAACCTCTGCCATTAGTGGTTGTGTGAGCCGGATTTAGACCTGTTCCGGTATCTTTTTACCGTGAACAAGGTCGGCTCACACTCGCCGGGTTTCGTCCAAGTTGCCGCTCGTCCGGGGCGACAGCTTTTCGAGAGGTTGTCCGACTCCATTAAGGACTGGAAACTCCTCTATTTCTTCGTCCGACCTGCTTTCTCCTCCTCCACCTTTCCGACCCTCTGGCCGGCTGCTCTATTCAAGCCTTGCTCTCGGCGTGCCTTCTTCACTAACGATGTGGTCCAGGGCGGCGAGTTCTTGAAGAGCTTTGGACCGTACTCCGTCAGGTACTGGTCCCGAGTCCGGGCCATGGCCAAGCGTGGCTTGCTGCCGGAGGGTGCGGCCACCGTAGGTAGTTTTCATTGCCTCTCTTTTCCCGCTTCTTTTTACTCTGTCTCATTCCGACTCGGAATACTTATGACTTTCTTTTCTTTCGCAGGTCCGTACGACTCCGACTCCACCAGTTCCGACGAGGCTGCTATGTCGACTCCTGAGATGGCGGACAGAGCTGAAAAAATGAGGCGTCGGCTGACCCAGCGCGCTTCCGGCACTGCTGCTGCCTCTTCCTCTCAACTGTCGCCGGCTCCAAGGTCGACTCCTCCACTACCACATAACGTGGTCGACCTGATGCCGTCGCCCGTCGTGTCGCCGACTCGACAACCGCCTCCTCCTCAATCTTAGAGTCCGAGCTCCAAACGACCGGCCGAGCAGACGGACATGCCGGCTCCGAAGAAGAACCGGTTGAGCCACGAGGTGGACGAGGATGCCCAGATCTGGCAAGGCAACTCCTCCGTCCGCAAGTGGGCCGCGAACGTCCTTCTCCCCAAGGACGTGGCGGTGACTGGTGGCCTGGGGGACGAGGTCATCATTGAGGCCTCGCTACGCCAATCATACCGCGTAAGTGTTTTCGACTCGCCTCTTTTTCCATTCTTTTCACTATCTGACTTCTGGTCGCCTTGCAGAACCTCACCTTCCAAATGGAGATGAGTAGGCGACTGAGGGAGTACAAGACCGGGCTGAAGTCTATGGCTGTCCGGGTGCACCAAACGGAGGAGGCCTTCTTGCAGGAGCAAGCTAAGCACGCCAAGGCGGTGGAGGTGCATAACTCCGAGATGCTAAGGGTCACTCGTCAGTGGGAGGAGGAGCGGGACAAGGTGGCGACCATTGCCTCGACCTCGGTGGAAGACTACAAGAAGTCGGCGTCCTTCGAGGCGGACGTGAAGGCGGCGATAGAGGCCCGGCAGAAGGAGATCGCCAAGGCGTGGCTGGTGACGCCGGAAGGTGACGACTTCCTTCTGGATTTGGGCGAGCGCGACTATCGCCTCGGCTTTCGCGAGGCGCAGATAGAAATCCACTCCGCCCTGCTGGTCCGCGACTCCTCTTTTACCCCCGAGAGCTGGGGCCTTAAGCCGGTGATAGACGCTCTCCCGGCGGCTGAAGGTCCGGCGGCGGCTGCTGATCCGGTGGCTCTCCCTACGGCGGCTCCTCCCAATCTTACTGAGTCCTCCCCTCAGGCAGAGGACCCTTCTTCTGTTCCTCCAGCTGGCCCAACGGCGGGGGCACAAGTTGAAGGGGTCGATGTCGACACCCCCTCCCCAGTAGTTTAGGGCTATTCTTTTAGGATAGTCCCTTTTGTAAAGGTTGGCCTCCTTCTCGGGCCTTTTTTAATTTTAATGAAATTTCCCTTTTCTCTTCCTTTCCGTGTTATCTTGGACTCAACGCTCTTTTAACCTTTTTATGGTTCTGTAAATTGAAGAAATGTTTTTAAGGCATCGGGCCCTGCTAATTCTGATGGACGACTTAGGATCGATGCCTTGTTGACTCTTCGGGTGCTCGCCGAATCCCGCAGTCGAGGCGACTCCTTTTAGCCTTTCACGGAAACGATTAAGGGTCTGGGCCCTTGTTTCCTAACTTTCCCTCGCCGAGTCCCTCAGTCGAGGCGACCCCTTAGGCTTTTTCTTTCTCAGAAACGTTTAGGGTCAGTGCCCCATAGTTTCTTTATATACTCGCCGAGTCCCTCAGTCGAGGCGACTCCTCTTGGCTTTTTCATGGAAACGACTAAGGGTCTGGGCCCTTGTTTCCTAACTTTGTCTCGCCGAGTCCCTCAGTCGAGGCGGCCCCTTAGGCTTTTTCTTTCTCAGAAACGTTTAGGGTCAGTGCCCCATAATTTCTTTATATATTCGCCGAGTCCCTCAGTCGAGGCGACTCCTCTTGGCTTTTTCACGGAAACGACTAAGGGTCTGGGCCCTTGTTTCCTAACTTTCTCTCGCCGAGTCCCTCAGTCGAGGCGACCCCTTAGGCTTTTTCTTTCTCAGAAACGTTTAGGGTCAGTGCCCCATAGTTTCTTTATATACTCGTCGAGTCCCTCAGTCGAGGCGACTCCTCTTGGCTTTTTCACGGAAACGACTAAGGGTCTGGGCCCTTGTTTCCTAACTTTCTCTCGCCGAGTCCCTCAGTCGAGGCGACCCCTTAGGCTTTTTATTTCTCAGAAACGTTTAGGGTCAGTGCCCCATAGTTTCTTTATATACTCGCCGAGTCCCTCAGTCGAGGCGACTCCTCTTGGCTTTTTCACGGAAACGACTAAGGGTCTGGGCCCTTGTTTCCTAACTTTCTCTCGCCGGGTCCCTCAGTCGAGGCGACCCCTTAGGCTTTTTCTTTCTCAGAAACGTTTAGGGTCAGTGCCCCATAGTTTCTTTATATACTCACCGAGTCCCTCAGTCGAGGCGACTCCTCTTGGCTTTTTTACGGAAACGACTAAGGATATGGACCCTTGTTTCCTAACATTCTCTCGCCGAGTCCAGGCGGTAGTTAGCAGTAATTCGTATTCTTTTATTCAAGTCGTTTAAGACCCTCGGGCCTATACATGGCCTAACATTTTCTACTGATAGAACTTCTTCAAGTGGATGACGTTCCAGATCCGGTCTACGGGCCTGCCTTCCAGAGTTTCGAGCTTGTAGGTGCCGGCCTGGACCACCGCGGCAATGCGATAGGGTCCTTCCCACTTTACCGCGAACTTGCCACCTTCCGTGGGCTGGCTTGCTTGCCGGTCTCGTAATACGAGATCGCCGACCTGGAAGGTTCGTGGGCGAATCCTTCGATCGCGATATCTCTTTACCGCTTGTTGATACTCGACCATCCGAGCACTCGCGGCTTCCCTCCTTTCTTCTAGGAAATTTTTCTCAATTCGAAGACTTTCCTCATTCTCCGTGTCGGAATAAGTGTGGACCCGGTGAGTAGGTTCGACCACTTCAATCGGGACCTTGGCTTCGAAGCCGTACGCGAGGGAGAATGGACTCTCTCCGGTCGCTCGCCTCTGCGTGGTGCGGTAAGCCCATAGGACTCAGTCGAGCTCATCCGCCCAATTTCCTCTTATGTCTTCCAATTTCTTTCGGATTCCATCCACTATGGTCCGATTCACATTTTCGACCTGCCCGTTGGCCTGCGGATACGCCACGGATACCTTGGTATGGCGGATATCGTGTCGGCGGCAGAAGTCAGCAAACGCCTGGCAGTCGAACTGTCGCCCATTGTCGCTGACAATATGCTCGGGTAAGCTGAAGTGGCAAATCACCCTCTTCCATAGGAAGCGTCGGCATTGGTACTCGGTGATAGTGGCCAACGATTCAGCATCAACCCACTTGGTGAAGTAGTCGATAGCCACGACACAAAATTTCAGGCCCCCGGGGGCTGCCGGTAATGGCCCCAATAAGTCGATTCCCCACTTAGCAAATGGGATAGCCGTGGTGACTGGCGTGTAGAAGGTAGCCGGCTGAGTGTCCTTTCTGGCGAACGCCTGACAAATGCCACATTTGGATATCCACTCGATGCAATCTCGCATCATAGTCGGCCAATAATACCCCTGGACGACTAACTTGCGGGTGAGCGTGTGGGCGCCCTGGTGCGCGGCGCAGATGCCTCTATGAGCCTCGTCCATTATTTTTTCGGCCTCGGGCCTGAGTAAGCATCTCAACAAAGGACCTCCGAATGACCGTTTGTACAGTTGTCCATCAATAATTTCGAAAGAGGGGGCTTTTCGTCGGACCTTAGCGGCGACCCCCGGATCTTCCGGTAATTCGCTTGCTTCTTTGAATCGCCGAATGTCCTCTATCCAGAACATCTCGGGGTTTTTCTCCCTGTCCCATTCCTTGCCAGTCACCTGCTGGACTTCTAATGTCGTTTCCTCGATACTCGGTCGATCCAGCTCCTCCTTCTGGCAGATCTTCACAAGGTGGTCCGGTACTCCCTCCAAGACAATCTTAGACAATATGTCGGCTTCTACGTTGTCTGCCCTGGCGATATATTCTATTTCGTAGGCTCCAAACTCTTTTAACATCTCGACCGCCCGCTCTTTATATAAAGTCATTCGCGGGCTCTTAGCATCACACGCGCCGGATATTTGCCCAACTACCAACCTGGAGTCAGTCTTGATTCTCAATCGCTCGACTCCTAGGGTCTTGGCGAGTCGGAGACCATTTAGCACAACTTCGTATTCGGCTTCGTTGTTGGATGTCGGGAACAAGTAGCTTAAGGCGTAGTACAGTTGGAATCCCTCCGGGGTGATGAGCATAATTCCACCCCCGCAATGTCGTCGACTCGATGCTCCGTCCGCGTGTATTTCCCACCACTCGCCTAAATTGGTCTCAGTGGCGTGTTCCTTCTCTTCTTCGCTCGCCGTGCACTCGACCAAGAAGTCGGCCAAGGCTTGACCTTTTATAGAAGGCCGGGGCTGGTACTTAATCCCATACTGGGTTAATTCCACGGCCCATTTCACTAGTCGGCCGGATGACAAGGGGTTTCGCAGGACGCTCCCCAGCGGTTGGTCAGTCAACACTCGGACGGTGTGAGCTTGGAAGTATGGTGCTAGCTTCCGCACGGTGATCACCAACGCGTATACAATCTTTTCCAGGGCGGTGTACCGTGACTCGGCGGCCTTCAGGGAGCGGCTTACGTAATAAACCGGGTGCTGAACGCGCTCCTCTTCTCGGACTAGCACCGAACTCACCGCCTTAGAGGAGGCGGCTAAGTACAAAAGTAAGGGCTCGTCGGCCTGGGGAGTAGACAATACCGGAGGTGTTGAAAGATATTGCTTCAGCTCTTCGAACGACTGCTGACACTCGGCGGTCCAGGCAAATCCTTCCTTCTTCTTCATGGCCTCGAAGAAAGGCACAGTCTTATCCGCCGCTTTGCTCAGGAAGCGGCTAAGGGTGGCCAGTCGGCCAGTCAACCGTTGCAGGTCTTTTACGGTGCTGGGAGGCTGCATGTCGATGATGGCCTGCACCTTCTCAGGGTTAGGCTCAATACCTCGCTTTGTGACCATATAGCCCAAGAACTTTCCACCCTGCACGGCGAAAACACACTTCTTGGGATTCAACCGGAGATTGTATCTTATCATCACTTTAAAACAGTCGGCCAGATCTTCCGCATGCTTGCTCTCTTCTCGGCTCTTGACGAGCATGTCATCGACGTACGCGGCCATTGATTTTCCCAGCAAGTGCTGGAACAGTCGGGCCACCATTTGCGTGTAAGTGGCTCCAGCATTCTTAAGCCTGAAGGGCATGACTCGATAGCAATAGACCCCATCCGGTGTTAGAAACGCGGTCTTTTCTTCGTCCGCCGAGTGCATGAAGATCTGATGGTACCCCCTGAAGGCGTCCATGAAACTCAGCAAGGCTGATCCGGCGGTCTCATCAACCAACTGATCAATTCGCGGCAATGGGAACGGGTCCTTAGGGCAAGCCTTATTGAGGTCGGTATAATCGACGCACATCCGCCACGCTGGGGGTTTTTGTACAAGAACCACGTTTGCCAGCCACTCCGGGTACTTGACCTCTCGGACATGTCCGGCCGTTAGCAGCGTGCTTACCTCCTTTTTTACGAATTCTCTCCGATCGTTGGCCAGGTACCGCTTCTTTTGTACGACTGGTCGATGCTCGGGGTCTACAGCGAGTCGGTGTGATATAACGGATCGATCGACACCGGGCATGTCCTCTGGACCCCAGGCGAAAACCAGCCGGTGTTCCCATAGCACTTTTATGATTTCTCCTCTTACCTTCTGAGGGAGACCAACTCCGATTCGGACCTGCCTGTCCGGTTGTTCAGGATCAATCTCGACTTCCTCCAGTTCAACAGCCGGCTCGGGGCGAGGTATCATTGTCTTCTTTGGGGGTCTTTCCGTGATCTCATGGTCCTGCATCCCTTGCTTGCCCATTCCTCGGCAGGCTTGCAGGTAGCAGTCGCGGGCGACCTTCCGGTCGCAGCGCACCGTACCTATTCCATTTGGCGTGCGGAATTTCAGGCAGAGGTGCTCGATTGAAATCAGAGCTCCTAGATCCTCTAGACCTGGTCGGATGAGTATATCATTATGCGAGCAGGCCAGATTTACAACGATGAATTTCATACTGAGTTTCTGTACGTCTGGGTAATTGCCAATCTCAACTGGCAGAGTGATGGATCCTTCGGCTTCCACCGAATCCCCTGTGAAACCGGCGAGTGGAGTTTTGACGGGATTCAGCTTATCTCGGGTCAACCCCATTTTCATGAAGGTTTCCAGGTATAACACATTAATGTTACTCCCGGTATCGACCAGGATTCGGCGAACGACTACCCCCTTGATGTCCATGGCTATAACCAACGCATCTCGATGCGGTGTCTCTCCAGCCGGTAAATCCTTATCGGTGAAGATGATGGGCTCTCGGCACGCCTTCTTGGAATTCTCCTCGCGCCCATATACTGTCCCGACGTATAGCTGTCGGGCCCAGGCCTTTCGAGTATTCGCTAAGTCACCACCTTCCGGCCCGCCAACAATCATGTTGATAACCGGCTTTTGACGCCACTGAGCCTCATCTTCTTCAGAAGCAAGCTGCTTGCCCCGATTGCTCTCGGCGGCGACGGCGGGATCCTCGTCCCCTTGATTGGCGGACCTTCGTCTCCATTGATTAGGAGGCGGGGTTCCTTGATGGATGATACCCTCCATGATCTTCTTCAGGTAAAAGCATTCTTCTGTGCTGTGGGTATAAGATTTATGGTAACGACAATATTTAGAAGTCTTACCTGTCTCCTCGCTGGTGATGCGGTCATCAATCGGCTGAGGCGGAGGCGGGGCGACCGCTTGTATTTCATGCACCGGCCGTTCGGGAGCTGGTCGGTAGGGGTGTACGGCGGGCCTGTCGTATGGTCGCCTGATTTCGGATCGTCGGGTCGCGTCCGGGTGCCTTTCCTTGGTTTCGGCTCGCGTTCTCTTTCCATTGGCGGACCCGCCGACTTCGCGCTGCCGTTTGTGTTTTATAGCCTGCTCTGTGTTGGCCCTCCTGTTGGCCATATGGATGGCTTCCGCGTAGGTAGCCGGGCGGTTGTCTCGCAGATCTCGGTATAGCTGCCCGGACCGCAGGGACTCGATGAAGAAGGTGAGTGCCGTCTGGTCCTCGACCTCCTCTATAGACTGGATTTCTTTCTGCCAATGGGCCAGATAGGTTTTTAAGGACTCGCCCTCATCCTGATGAATGTCGCCTAGGTGTGTCAAGTCCTTTTGTGGCCTGATATTAGCGGCATAATGGCCCATAAAGCGGTCCGCTAGCTCTTCGAAGCTACGAATCGACCCCGACGGCTGTGCCACCAGCCACCTTTGTGCTGGGCCTTTTAATGTGGGCAGAAAAGCGCGGCACATGACCGGGTCTTGAACTCCCAAGACCTGCATCTTGGCTTGGTAGCTCAGCAAATGTTCTCGAGGGTCGCCAGACCCATCGAACGTGGCTTGCTCCGGGAATTTGAAATCACTCGGTATCTTAAAGGTCATGATCTTGTCCGAGAAGGGCAAGTCGGTTAATAGCGTACGTCCTGGGGATTTGGCTTTTCCCTCTACCTGCTCTCTCAGATTTCGCACTTCTTGGACTAAGTTTGCCACCTCGACCCTCTCCCGGGTATGATTTCCTGTTGATTCCGTGCTCTCACCGACCTCCGACCTGGCCGGTTCGTCGCGGTTGCGGACGGGCTGCTCTATACGGCGAGCCTCAGTCCTAGTTCTTCTGGTACGATTTTCCTCGCGTGCAGTCTGCCGATCGCGAGCAGCCAACGGGACACGACTGGGTTCCCTCCGACCTAGTCGTTCTCACGCTGACCGCCGTCCGGCGTTCGGACCTAGCCGAGAATGAACGGACTGTACCGGCTGGCTCTCGGCTCGGCGGTTCTGTTGCCGATCATCGGGCCCATGAGACGGCTGCTGATTGCGTTGCGGCAAACGAGTGGCAGACTGTTCTCTTACTCCTCGACTCGCCTCGGCGAAGGCACGCCCGATCGCGTGTAGTTGCTCCAGGGTGAGCTGCACCTGAGGCGGCTGTTGATTTATCGGTGGTGTGGGCGGCGGCGTCGTCTCATTTTCCCGGCTCCGAGTGTTTCTTCGATTCAATTGGTTTCTTAAGTCCGCCCCCAGTCTATCATCGTGTCGGCTTGACTGTTCCTGACTTCCTGCCATGTTAGGGGCTTTTCTAATCTCTTGCGACCGAGATTCTTCCTATCGTTTCTGGAACTCGCCACGCTCAGGAGGACACGCGACTCTTAGTTTCGATCCCCACAGACGGTGCCAGTGATGGTTTTTGGGTTTTCGGGCCCAAGGAGGTCCAACACAACCTTTAGCTGGAGGATACACCTTTCAATAAAATGTCTGTCTCAAAAGAAAGAAAGTGCTTTGTTTAGAATCTCTTCTATTCCCTCTCCGGGTCCTCCTCCTGTCTCTGCCTTCTACAAGAGTGGGGGAGCCTTTATATAGAGGCTCCTCCCCCACTGACTTGAAGGCCCTTAATAGCCGACTTCAAGACTAATTAAAGTATCGAGCCGTTGGGCGCCTTTACTGAGTCGGCCAACGACTCTCTCAAGCTCGTAACAGCCGGACCAAGTCCGGCATTTTAATGCTCTAACGGTTCCCTGTTTAAGAGTCTCTTTGATGATCTCAACGGCTTCTTGAGCCGAGTCTTTTTCTGGGCTTGGGGCCTGGCCGACTCCTTGCCCTCGGCCCAAGCTCCTGCTAGGCTCTTCTTAGCAATCCTGAGCTAGGTCCCCGTACTTGGGCCTGGGCTGATTCCTGGACTCGGCCCGAGCACCCTCCGGGTTTCTCCTGATGCTAGCCCACCTTTCCTGTCTTGGGCTCTCTTCTTTGGGCCAATCTTTCTTGGGCCGGGATCCTCACCCCATCAATTGCTATAGTGTTCGGTTCAGTTCGAGCCGAACCGTGGTCATCCTACGTATAAGAATAATTTGTTGAAGAAGAGAAATAAATAAAAAAATATATTTATTTTAAGGGTAGAAATGTCCATTTAATGTATCAGGGGAAAAACCGCCACTTTTATAATAATTGAGGGGGCATATATGAATGCATGAATAACTCGGGAGAAAAACGTGCTATAAGTATATAACTCAGGAGGAAAAAGTGTTATTTTCCCTTTTGAAAATGAGTTGGAATTGTATTGATGTAAAGAAAATAGTAGTGAATTGTAAATATATTGATATGACAATAATATCTATTTTAAAAATGAGAGAGAATTGTAAAAGTAAAGATAGCTTAAAATCATATACTTTTGGAGTCGGATCTTTAAGTGAGCGAAATTTTAGGGCATATTTCGTTCATATGTTTAGCTATCAGGAATGAGAATCAAAGTCATTATTATTGTTTAGTTGACAGGTTTCTACAACACTACTATGGGATTTGATTTTCCCTTTAGGGTGTGTTTGGAAACCTGAAAAATGAGTTCTGAAAATCATTTTCCAAGTTTTCATTGTTTGGATGTTCTTGGAAAATCAAGTCAACGGAAATCATTTTCCGTTGACTTTGGAAAATAGGCTTGTTTTGGAGGAAAATGACTTCCCCTTTTTTTGGGGGGAAGTCATTTTCCAACTTTTACACCAACATCACACCACCACCAACATCATCAACACCATACCACCACCACCTCACTACCACCATCACCACCACTACTGCCGCCGCCACCACCACTATACCACCGCAACCACCGCCACCACTACCACCACTACCACCACCAACACCATACCACCGCAACCACTACCACCACCAACACCATACCACCACCACCACCGTACCATAGCAACCATTGTCGCTGCCACCACCACCACCACCACCACCACCATACCACCGTCACCACACCACCACTGTCGCCGCCGCCGCCGCCACCACCACTATAACACCTCAATCACCGTCGTCGCCACCACCACCACCATACCACCGCCGCCACCACCACCATACCACCGCAACCACCGCCACCACCACCACCACCATACCACCGCCACCATCACACCACCGCCACCACCACCATACCACCGCCACCACACCACCACCATCACACCACCACCACCACCACCACCGTCGTCGCCACTACCACCACCATACCATCGCAACCACCGTCGCCGCCACCACCACCACCACTACCGCCGCCGCCGCCGCCACCACCATACCACCGCAACCACCGCAATCACCACCACCATACCACCGCAACCACCACCACCATCACACCACCGCCGCCGCCACCACACTACCATCGCCGCCGCCACCACCACGACCATACCACCACCGCCGCCACCACCACCACCACCACCATACCACCGCCACCACCACCACACCACCGACGCCGCCACGACCACGACCATACCACCGCCGCCACCACCACCACTGCTACCACCGTCATACCACCACCAGTTATTATTATTATTATTATTATTATTATTATTATTATTATTATTATTATTATTATTATTATATAACAAATAACACCACTACTACACCACCACCACCACCACCACCATAATATTTTTGATATATTATTAGTTATTTTTATTATATTTTAAATTATATTATTATACATGTTGTAATATTCTAAATAAAATAATTAAAATGTTTAATTATACAATTCTACTCATTTTCCAGAAAATGAACCAAACACACAAAAACAGTTTTCCAGAATGCAACCAAACACTGGAAAGGAAAATGTTTTCCGGAAAATGACTCATTTTCCAGAAGTCATTTTCCTGCTTTCCAAACGGACCCTTAATTAAAAAACCCATTCCCTAATAAAATAAGGGTTTCATTCCATTATTCCCCCTCCTAATTGGTAATTTGAGGTGTGTTTGGTTGGCAGGTTTAACACTCAGGTATGGATATGAAAGTCATTGTTATTGTTTGGTTGACTGGTTTTTAAAACACTACTATGGGTTTGGAATACCCTATTAATAAAAAAATTCATTCCCTTATTTTATAAGGGGGCGTTTGGTTCGGGTCATTTTACAAGGGTTTCATCCCATTATTCATGCTTAGCTAAATCATTCCCATTCCACCCTACTACAAACATGCAAAATACTTTCACCAAAACCCATTACTATTACTAAGTATTTGATACCCATTTCGATTCCGATTTCCATGGGCGAACCAAACACACCCTTTGATTTTTAAGTTTGAATTAATGTTTTTGGGCTTGTTTGGTTAATGACGGATCCACCATTTTTGACATTTTGACCATGTCAAAATGCCAAAAACTTTGTTTGGTTAGTCAGCAGTTTGGAGCAACGATTTGCTCCAAACCGCTGAAATCCCAAACGCTGCAAAGTGCAGTGTTTGAGGTTAGCATTTTGGAGAAGGAAAATCCTTCCCCAAAACGCCCTCTACCATATAAAAAAAATAACTAATAACACAGGAGCCTAAGGCTCATTTAAATAAATGAGCCTTAGGCTCCTTTCGCCTTCCCCATTCGATGTGGGAACACATCACATGGGGAAGGTTTGGAAATAGGGGAGTTGAACTCCTTTTATAAAGGAGTTCAACCCCCTATTTCTCTTCTACTTTCGATGTGGGATTCCATTTATCTTCTTTTTTTGTTTTTGTTTTTGATTTTTTTTTTTGTTTTTTGTTTATTATTATTATTATTATTATTATTATTATTATTATTATTATTATTATTATTATTATTATTATAATACTTGTTGTTGTCTTAGTTATAATTATTATTATTTTGATCTTGTTAGGTAGTATGATTTATTTTTTATTTTATTATTACATAATGAAGTTAATAATAATAATAATATTATTATTGTTATGAATATCCTTTTAGGTCTTTTACATGTTAGCCGCTAATCTAAACAACTAATTTTACCAAATATCTTTTTACAAACCGCTGATACAATTTGCTGGTCAAACCCGCTAATACAATCCGCTATTTGTGAACCGCTAATATGATCCGCTAACGCTAACCGGTACCGCTGATTTGCCAAACAAGGCCTTTATATTTTTGTTTTTATTTTTTTTGTTCATATTGATGCTTTGGATGTCTTTATATTAAAATAAATTGTCTTGATTTTTTGTTCTTGTATTTTTAAAACATTTATTCTCATTATATGATCATACATAACCAAATAGTAATATTGGTAATCATTCTAATTTCACCCTACTACCAAACATGCAAAATACTTTCACCAAAACCCATTATCATTACCAAGTATTTGATTTCTATTCCAATTCTAGCTAATTCCCATGTGCGAACCAAACACACCATTAGTGTTCCCTTTTGTTTTGTTCTTTCAAATGTACAAAATAAATAAATGCAATTGGGGAGGAGTGCCGCCATCTGATATATATTTTTTTGAAACCAACCATAGCGATTGTATTAATGAATCATCGAAGCAATAGAGTCAAAGGGATAGCATCCCAATACATAGAGTGATCCTGAGTAAAGATTATTGAAGCTAGAGTATGTGCATGTAAATTAACTTGTCTAGTAACATAACTGAGCGAGCAAAAATTAAATAAAGCCATAGATAGTCTGCAGTGGTCTATCACGACCCCAGCATAGGATAAGATAGCTGACGGGTTCTGGTGCAAAGCGCTCCGCAACTCAGAACAATCTGTGAGGAGATCCACCATCGTGACATCCTTTCCCTTAGCCAGGACAAGGCTTCCCCACAAGCCGCAACCTCCGCCATAAGAGGTGAGAAGCAGACGGGTAGCTTGCCATTTGTCGTTGCCATAAACATATCGTCCGAGGCGAGAAGCACCACCCCATACGTTGATTCGCCGGAAGATGGTTTGAAGCCGGCATCGATATAGCAGTGCGGCCATGCATGGACTATGGGGAGACCGCCTCTACCGGTTCGTGGTCGGGGTTGCGCCGATGGGTCTGCCGGAACGCGTGCATGGATGCAGCCGCCTGTCACCGGACGACATTGGGGTGCAGCAGGGATCTGTCCCATACTGCCGCATTTCGGCTCTTCTAAAGATGGTATAATACAACCGCCATTAATCCACTTTGCTCCTCCGTCAAGACTGCCAACACACCCATAAGCCATAAGGGGAACGAATCTGCTACGATATTTGTGATAGGTAATTGTGTAACATTCCAAACAAGTCTAGAATACTTACAAAGTACTAAAGCATGCATAACATTTTCATGAGCCAAACCCCACATTTGGCATGTAGGA